TATATATATATATATATATATAAAAGCATCTGTAATGGGATTGCTTATAAGTAATCCATGTGCCACATCACTGCCAAATCAGCTTTGACCCACTTTATAGGTTGCTTAAATTTTAGCAAAGTTGCTTCTACAAGCAACTCTGCTAAAATTTAAGTAACCCATAGAGTAAGTCCGAGCTGATTTGGCAGTGATGTGGTACAGGGAGTTGCTTATAACCAACCCCCATTGTAGATGCTCTAATAGAAGCAGGTAGATATTCTTTTTTTTTTTTTTAATTTTTGATTGTATGCGAAATAAAATAATAGTTATTACAAAGTTTTTAATTTACTAATTTTTTCTTTATAATTCAAGGTTATAATAGTTTATAAAATATGGAAATTAAAAGTAGTTACTGAAACAAATAAATAAATAGTTATCTCATTAGATTTTGATCCCAACCTCCTCAATACACAAAACGAGACTTCATTTCTACTATAGCTTGTATTCCATCAATATAATAACCACCACAATAAAAGGAATAAAGGATATTCACCTGTATATATATTTCCAGCAGTGCTAAACTTGACAGCTGAATTTACATAACCTAATATTCCGTTAAAAAAATGGAAGGAAAAAAGATTAATTGTCTAAGAGTTTATGCAAACTAGATCTTACTTCTATTGACACATTAATTTTATTTTTGTATCAAAGGGGGAACTAAAGTACTACAAGTTCCCAATTGACTAAACTGGAAGAAGAGATTCATCATGCGACAGTGTTTGTCGGAAAGAAGCTTCAATTAAAAGGGAGTGTATATTTGCATCTGACTCAAAATGTGTTCAAAGTTGTCTGTTGTTTTCTCAATAGGGTGTGTGTGCACTCCCTCGTAAGTGGTCACCACTACCCCTTCGTCTTTGGTTAAGCGTTGGACTTGTTTCTTCACATTGCACCCTTGATGCGTGCACCGGTAGTAGCTTCTGCAAATGCAATGGAATAATCAACACATTAGTTTAATTACTTCATCTATTTAACACTGCTTACTTAAAGATGAATCCAAGAAGCCTAAGAATTTTTAATGATAATTCAACGGAGTATATTAGCATGTTTGGATAAAAGTTTAGAAGAGTATTTTTTTTTAAGTATTTTTACCAAAAATAAAAAGCTTTTCCAAGTAAATTTTTTTTCAAAATTTCTTTCCTAAACCTGTATCCAAATATGTTTTATAACTAATATCATATTTCGGTTCAAAACTTGTGACATTGAAAAAAAAAATTGTGTTAATTACAGACAAGAAACTTGAAATATACAGTGGCATCATTCAGATACAGTTTTGAATGTAAGGAAAGTAAGCAATGGAAAAGATAAACAGTATGATGCAAGAAAAGAAAAATCACAAAGAGCACAAGTTATCCTAATCTTTGAGAAAAATCAGGTAAGCTGCTACGACCTAAAATTCTCTTTAATTAATTTTAATATTCTGCATATGTAGACAAAAATTTATGGATTTGTTGATGATTTCACGCGCCATATGTAGTTTCTTCGTGTTTGGACTGGATTATTATTACAGAAAAACAATGGTTTCTAGAAAATTTAAAGGAACGTCTGCATATCCAGTTATCTCATACATATATGAACCCTTTTAATTATAATATGACATTATTTTCTATAATATATTCTTTAACTGTTTGCAATTCATCATATCAATCATCTGAACTATCTCAAGGCTTTCTTCTGCTTTCTTCAAATTTCTCTTTACTATTTAAAAATTTATATACACAAATATTAGATTATATATATTGATATACACTATATTGCGTGCACGCAGAAGTGCATACACATGGTTTTGTTCTTATTCTATTTCTTTAATTTTCTCTTTTGATTTGACCGAAGATAAGACATGTATAGAAGAATGAAGACGAAAATCACGGCAAAGAGAACAAAAAGAAGATCAAGTGATAAAAACTTTAATTTCTCCTTTGGAAAACACCAATCCTAGCTGAATTAACAAACAATCCCACCAAACCAATTGAACCAAGACTGCTAGCTAGAACAGTGTTTTTGATTGATTAATTGCAAACTCCATTATTTTTTCAATGTTTTTTTTAATAATTCAATTCAACATTCAAACCGATAAGAACTATGGTGGGGTCTTGTCATATTCTTAGCACAATCACACACGTATTTTTTCCAAGTCAAATTTAGCAGGCGCCACAGCCACAAGGAGAAAAACAAAAACAAAAGCAAAAGAAAGCATAGGAAAAACAACATGTATGAAACAAATTAAGAGTTCAACTAACCTTGGGAACTTGTTGTTTTTAACAGCTTTTTGGCCATACTTCCTCCATCGATAACCATCATCAAGAATATCAACTTGGCTCCTCGTTTGAAAAGCATATCTAGGCTTTCTAACCTTTTTCTCTCCTTTCTTTTTACCATTTCCAGAACCACCTAATTGATCGGTCACATTAATGCTACCACTAACACTACCACTGATCTGAGACAATAACATGGCATCTTCTCCTCTCTTCTCATGATCATCACTACTTTGATCATTACTAGGCCTTAGACCAAGAAACGCATTGGAGCTTTGACCACTAAAACCATGCTGAGAACTTCCCACCCCAGTTGGGTAGCTGGAAGAATCAGGACAAGGAAACAACATGGAATAATTCTCCATTGAAATGAACCCCAATTTTCCTTGTGAGTATATATATCTTTGTGATCCTAGGTAGAGAGAAAAAGAGCAAGTATAGAATAGATAGCAAGGAATTGAAACTAAAAGTGGGTGTGGTAAAAAGATGAAGGGCAAATATAAATGGTGGGGGCGGCGCTTAATGTTAACGTGGCAAATTTTATGGACACATACATCGAATGTGAGGAAAGAGAAAAGAAAGTCCAAAGGATATATACATATATAGAGCCATGGTGTCGTGAACCACACGAAAATTGTCCAAGTGTGTGTCGTGAAAATTGAGTTTTATTTATCATCATGAGCGTAGATAAATTGGAATATTAAGAGGGTGGTAGCAGTAGTAGTCTAAGGTGGAATTCTGAGGCGGCTCCATCATTAGGATAATGACATTACTGTGTATTAATTGTTTGTTGTGTATTTCAGATACCATACCCTAGCTATTGGATTTTCTAGATTATCGTTTCAAATTTCACCACTTCCTTCGCCTCTCAATTATATCATTCATCCAAATTTAAAAAAAAAAATACTTTATTTATTAATATATACATATATATGTATATTAGTATATATATATATATTTATTAAAAAATTATTTTTTCTATTTAATGTTTATATATCTTTTAATTAATTAAGTGCATGTTTTATATTATTTTTATTTTTTAATTAATATTCATCTTTTCTTTAATTAATTAAAATGAATATTTTTTAAATAATTTATAATTAATGTATTTTATTAAAGAAAGAAAATACACTTTAATTAGGAGTATTTAAGTTTTAAAAAATAATTAATATGAGATAATATAATTTGAATCTCTTATAAAAAAAATAATCATTTAAAGTTGGGTCTTATAAATAAAAATGAATGTAATATTTATTTTGTATGAATATGATTCATGTAGTATCTTAAAATTGATAATTTAGAATTATCCTACACTCGTGGGATGTGATTTCTACTATCTAAGCATTATCTTGACATTAATAACAATCAAATTTGAGAATATCTGATCGACCCTTCATATCTCATAACGAATTCTACAATCACCAAGTGTTCGTTATGAGATTTGATTATATATGAATGTATGTGTTCATAATCCAAAATCAAATCACCTTCTACATTTATTCATTGCTTCTCGATTAAAATTTAAAATAATTAACCTAAATTATAAAAATTAACCCTTCATAAACAAATTAATAATTCGAGAATACTACTTTATATATAAGCACGTATTATTTTATTTTTTTCCCTAATAATTTTGAAGAGGTGTTTAAGAGAAACACGTGTATATATGTGAAAAATATATTATATGTATATATGATGTCAATAAAATATATGATGTCAATAATTTAATTTTCAAAAGACAACACTGAGATGAGAAATAAAGCATGTAATTTGGATTTATATAAGAGGAGGACTGTGTCTGCGTAGTGGGGTGTTATAATTAGTATTAAGAAAAATAAATAAATTAAGATTTCAAATCTGTGGAGGTGACGGAAATTGGTCGTCGTTTGTGAAAGTTGTGGTTTTTGTTTTGTTCGTGGTAGTCTTGGCAAAGACTAGAAGCAGTAACGTTGGGACTTAAATAAAAATAAATAAATATATATATATCTGGGTTATGGTCACAGTTCACACGTGTTTAAGACAAGTAAAATAAATATAAATATAATAATTAAAGTTTTTTGGTCAGCGTGAGAGAATGGGTGGGTGCAAAGATTTGAACGTTGCAGCTTCCATGAAATAACTAGCTGCTAGAGGAAACAATAATTGCACGAACTCTACAATTCACAAGGTTGCCTTTATAGTTATAGCACTTCATATAGATTTAACTCAAGTGATTTAGGTGGATCAACATTTAATCAAAGATAGATGCTTGTTTTTCATATACCAAAAAAAAAATTTATTTTGGAAACAAAAATTGTTCTTTCAAAATGGTATACACGTAAATTAAGAAATTAAGAAAGTAATGAGTCATTTTGTTTAAACTTAAAAAGAAAAAAGTGATTTCAAACAAGTGTTTAAAAAAAACAATTCTTTAAGATAGAAGTTACTTATAAAAAAAGAGAGTAGAAAATTGCTTGTTTTTAGAAAAGGAAGTTTAATTAATAACATCAAAAATTTATAAATAAAAAAAAAACTTATTTCATAAAAAATAAAATACTTTTATAAAAAAAAAAAAAAATCAAGCATAGAGACTCAACACCACATACAACAAAGAAAATAGTAAAAGGTTGAATAAAGACAATTAAACTCGCATAAAACAACATTCAAGTGTGTTAATTATTTTTTCTTTTGTAATTGTAATACTTTTTTTGGGTAAAATTGTAATTTTAATATTGTGTTAGTGACAGTTTCCATATATTGGTGTGAACATTTTAATATTTGTGTCTAGGTTTGAATGCATTTTTATTGTTTATAAGTTGCATTGATTTTGAATTTAATTCGATCCTTTTCTTATTTTTTTTGTTTGCAAATGTGGTCACGCACACTTAATATTACCCGAAAATTTGTTATAGCAAATAAATAAGTGGAGGTGGCATTATTTTCATCCATGTGATTATTGTGCTAATTAAACAATAATTTAATTTAGTTACTTGCTTAAAAAATAAGTTGCTTTCCATAATGAAATATGTGTTTGTTGAGAATCTCTTTAATTAGAAGCTTCCATTATGTTAAGTTATAACTTAAGAAGGAAAGGGTGTGAGTGTAAAAGCTGAGGCCACATATAATATTTTGACACCAAAATCCCAAGTATTCCATATTTGCTTATATATATATATATATATATATATGAGAGGTTGTTCGAGAAAATTTTTATTGTATATATATATCTTAAATTTCTTTGCATGTGTCTCATGTCAGTCAAAGAAGGAAGAAAAAATTAAAATATAGGAGTATCTTTGGATAAATTTTTTCAAAAGTAATTCTAAGGAAGTTAAAACTAACTTTTGTAGAATTTAAAAATAAGATTTTAAACAAATTAATAAAAGAGGATTTATATAAATTACTTGAAAAATTTTACCAAGACAAACTCTATATTCAAATAAAGAGAAGCATGTGAGAACAAATATAGATAAGAATCTATGACAGTAGTGATAGAGTTTTTGAATTTGGGGTTCCATGGGATTATTGGCTAATCTAAGTGAAGTGTGCATGATTCGATATGTCAATAATTAGTTGATTAAGGATAGTTAAGCAGAATTATTCTTAGTGGAGCAAATTAATCTAACATTTCAACTGTTTTTTTTACAAAAAAAAAAAAAACAAATATTTGTAAAATAAGTTGTATATTTAAGATAACAACTTCAATTTACAAATAGATTTTTTAAAAGAAAATAAATTATTTTTAAAAATTTAAAATTTTGAAATTTATGATTATTTTTCAACTTATATTTTTTTATATTCAAAAAATTAAATATCTTAAAATTGATTATCAATAAACTCACTGAAATAGAATTTTATTTTAATTATAAGTAATCATAACAATAGTTATTAATTAAAATAATCTAATTTTTAGATCTTTTTTCAACATACTCGTGTTATATTAATTATCTTTTTCTAGTTACCAGCAGTTCAATTAGAGTATAGCAAGCCTTTAAAAAATATTTGACAAGTGTGATGATTACAAGATCTAGCTAGGCCAACTTTGCGAAGGTATGATGAATGGTGTCTCATACATGCTCAAGGGCGTGTCTAAGAAATTTAAGGCTTAAACCAAAAATTTTATTTGAAATTTACTCTTAAATAATTGATAATTTTTTATTTTAATTTTTCATAAAAGTTATTAATAAAATCCAATAGTTTAAAATTTTGAAAATCTCATTTAATGATAATTCTTTCAATAATTATTTTGCAACATAGTCTCTAACTAATCTAAAAATTTTAATTTTGAAAAATAATTATAAATATGATTTACAAAAGTAATTATAAATATTATTAATAATATTCCATAAATTAACATATGTAACACATTTTAAAAATAATTTTTAATATAATTTGATATTTATAATGAAATACTAATTTATTTGTTAATATTTTATTTATTTATTTCAATTTAGAAAAAAAAAGTCATAATCTCTAACAATACAATATTTACTTTTTTAAAATCTTATTTATTGAGATTCAAATAAGAATTTTAAAGTTATTTTATATTTTAAAATTTTTAAATAAGTTGTGAAAAAATAAAATAAAATATTTTTAAATTTTTTTATAAAAATTAGAAGAATTAATCTTTAATAAAATGTTCTTATTGTTATATTCACTATCATTTTCTTATAAATTATAATACTTTTATGAAATTTAACCTTTATATTTACTTTAATAACATTTTTATTCAATTCAAACAAATATAAGTTTTTAATTATAAAAAAAAAAATTCAATCAATAACTCTACAATAATATATGTATAAACAGATTTTCAAAAAATTGTATAATTTTATGTATTAAAAAA